AGTTATGAGGAGGTAGTTCGCTCTTTCTTCCCTTCTCCTTCTATTACTATGCTGTTGTATTATTGGATAGATAATACTATCGAGTTATCAAATTTGTAATACAAGTAAAAGAACTCCGGATGGTAGATCCACCTAAAATGGCGGATTGAACTGTACTAGTCAAAATGGTGCCTGAGAGGAGGCCACGCCTTTCAACAGCTAACTGAAGATGGAGCCACGAGGCTGAAAATGGCGATTCTTTGATGTTGAAGCAATCCGCCTAGAGGCCCAGAGACGTGAGCCTTGCGATGGCTCACGTCCCCCTCCCCCCGGACCGCGGCTGTCCGCGGGTGGCTGAGAGGTTTCTGGGGCGAGAGGGGAGAAGTCTGCGCCTATTGTCTGCTTCCCCTAAGCACCGATGGAGGAAAAGGCGGCTGAGCGGCCTGTTCGGCCTCGAGGCCTGCGCCTTTCAGCTGATTGGGGCGAGCGGCACAGCAGCTCTGTCGGCCGAACGGGCTGGGAATCCTCGCGCTTTACAGCTGATCAGTGTACCGGAGAACGGCGAGCTCTCCTAGGTATTGACCGGCTCGATTCCCCTGGACAGAATCTCTAGCCCCTGGGGATACTCTCACCACTCCGTCGATCGGCAATCTCCTCCTGAAACGGAGATCATGCAACGGCTCGGAGCCCCGAGCCAGCAGAGTAGATGACTTTCTGCTAGAACTGGTTAGGTGAGAGAGAGATGGCAGAGAAGGGAAGAATTTTTCTCTTTCAAGTTGAATTTCTCAGGAGCTAATTTTTTTTTTACTGCTACGGGCTTCGAGACTGAGTCAAAACTGGGGTCACGCCCAAGGGAAGGGTGTGGCCAAAGTTTTTACCCAGTCTGCCGGGCAGGAAGGCTGTCATAGAACCCAACCATTGGACTCTACAGCCATCCTGCTGGAGAACAAGTTTTGAATACTTCTTTTGATATTTGTTAAGCCTGTTTTGCAGTTTCCATTGCTATTGCCGGTAGTATTACTAGAAATGATACATACATTATATATTTGCTTCATATGCTGATTATAGTAAGACAACCCTGAACATATTTATTAGCATCACAGAATGATGGAGGTAGAAGGATTCACAAAGATGATTTAGTCCGTAGTGGGTAAGAAAATGAATTAAATCATATTCTGGAGATACTTATCAGCCTTTTTTTTTCAAACTTCCACAACCACCTTAAATCACTTTTGTACAGTATTTATTGTACAAACTTATTATTTAAGTTTTTCCTTATTTTTAAATGAAAATCTAGGTATATAATACTGTAAAACATAGGAATAATTGCTACAAGATTTACTTCTCAGTAAGTGGACATAAAGTTATTATATATTGTTATTACAATTATATAATTATTATGCTTTTATTGCCTTTTATGTTGAAAGTCACTGGAGGCACCTGTGGCGAGATGGGCAGCAAATAAATTTAATAAAATAAAATATAAATTTAGTTTCAGTTTTATGTAAAGAAGAATAATTATTTGTTCAAGAGATTTTATAGCATCTAGATTTAAGCTTAAGCTAAATTAGGTGTTAATTGAAAAAACATAATTCAGCATTTAAAAAAAATTAGAGCAGTGATGGGCAATTGCATATAATTTTTTAAAAATTTAACATTATTTAATATGTCTATTGTAATAGACGTTGTAATATTGTTTAATATTATCTCTCTCATACACTTTTTTGTGTTGATATATGTAAGGATCTATATTTGTGTGTATGAATTGTGAAAGTCAGAATCAAAAGTATGTTTTCATTCAGCATGACGATATGTTGCATATATTTCTACATTCAAAGCTAATTCTGATGTTCCAACAAATTTGAACCTATAGCAAAGAAAATAGGGCAACCAACTGTCCAAGAACAATATAATAAATTGAAATTTCTTTCCCCCATTTCTTTTATTTATTAATAAATAAAAATAAAAACTATAACAGTGATAATATAAGGAAAAATCTGTTTGGTTTTTGCCTAGATTATCACTTGTATTATTATTTTGTTAATAAATAATAAAAAGTATGATAGTGTTGTAAGCATTAATTTCTGTTTGCTAAATAGAAATTGATATAATTTCACAGAACAATAATTGTAGTGATAAGTTTATATTCAGTTACCTATCTTACTCATATCAAATTTATTCTGTTAATTTACATTTCATGTAAATTTATTGAATTAGGACAGCCAGTATGAAAGATGTTTTACTTGAAATGTAGCTGTTTCTTAAAGAGATTCTTTTTTTCTCAATGTATTGAAGTAATTAATAGCCCAACTTCTTCTACAAAACATTTAGCCAACATTGGACTAGATATTCTGCACATTTCCTGAGTTGATCCTTAGAATATATTTAAAAGAACAACTGAGATATATATTTCCATGTTGTAGGTTAGAACGATTTTACCCAATTTGAGGTTATAAAGACAGAAAAACAATCAGAAATTTATATGGCATACTAAACAGCAGAACCAAACTATTAAAAAATGATATATTTCATGTTAAATTATGTCTTGCCTGTGGATCCAATTATTATATGGAAAGAATTATAATGATCAGGTAGTTTACAAACAATGAAATGGAAATAATATTCGGAGCTTTACAGTTAACTTGTTTAGGCCATCTAGTGTTTATTAAGATAAATATTTGCCAAGTGCTTATTTTATGACTCTTTAAAATATACAATTTTGGAAGAGTTATTTGATTCATATTTAATTCTAAATAAAATAATGCTTGTCCATCGGTCCATGAACAATTTTGTTCTAAATGAAATTAAATTTTGTTAGAACTAACAACTTGCTACAGATAGATCTGACTTTCTTATCCTGTTTACATTAGGACCAAAAATTTCAATTAAAAATTACTATTCCAATAGGATATAAATCAATTTATAGTTTATAAATGTTCTTATTCTTAACATATTTTCGTGTATATAAAAATAATTGTTTTTTCACTTTCAGTAAATATATTTTTGATATAAATTTACAGTGAGGAAAAACACTTGTACAAAAGTTATATACAATAGTAATATCTTGGATTTAAGGTTTATTGTTTCAATTAACTGGCTTTATAATAACAAAAATCAGATTTTCATCCTGTGTGATTAATACAATATTTCTTCCTTACCATGAAATTATGATTCACTTTGAAACCTAACAAAGCTTTTTCAGTTCAAGAAAATGCATAAAATTTAATGCAATCATATTTGTAATCACTTTGTATAAATTATTACTATGGATAGCCCTTCATTCAGATCTTGATGTTAATCCAACTAAAGAATCTCCTTCTGAAACAGTATCACAAGTCTTTTTAACATAGTGATATACCATAAAAATATTGTAGTAGTTCATCAGTTGCTGAAGTGAAATGATGAAATTAAAGTATTGAAATCAGCATTGTTTTACTTTGTTTAAATCAAGAATTCTGTGTAACTCTAAAGTAAGGATACATTGGATGAAGCATTGGTCAAGAAATTATCAGTAACTCTTAAACAATTTCAGTTTCCAAGACATAGTGAGGCTTGGTTGTCCCATGCCCCGTCTGCATCCCATGCCCCAGACTAGGCCATTGTTATGTCATCCTAATAGTTTATTAGACTGAAATCTTGTGCAATTTGGTGATCTTAGGAAATGTTACAATTTTTAATATTATAGTGGAAGCATCACAAGGGAAGGATAACAAGGTGTGCTGGTAATCAATTAATAGTACAAAAACATGTTCTGCTCTAAATTTCATACCATGTTTCCCAGAAAATAAGACCCAGTCATATTTTTTTTTGATCCAAAAGAGGCTCCAGGTCATATTTTCAGGAGAGGATCTTTTCCATTTACCTCGCAGCAGTGGCACTGATAGCCTGCCCGCCTAGCCCACTTCTTCTGCGGCTGAAGGAGCAGCTTCATTCTGCAGCTGAGAATGGAGCTTGGGCCTGCATTTTGCCATCAGAGACCTTTCCGGAAAGCCTGCGCAACCCAAAACCGAGCTATGGATTGAATCCATAGCTCGGTTCTCGGATGCAGAGGCCATAGAAGAAGTGGACCAGCGAGGCAAGTGTTGATCAATGGGAGGCCTAGCTGCAAGGGTAAGCTCCACCCCCACTCTAGCTTTAATTTTAGGCGTGTGTCTCACCCCAAAACTAAGGCTTATTTTTGGGGGCTTATAATAGGCCCACCCTCAAAAATCAAGATAGGGCTTATTTTCGGGGAAGGTCTTGCTTTCGGGGAAATGTGTTATACTAATTTAGATTACATTATTTTAATAAACATTAAATATATACACATCAATTTGCACACAATTTCCATATCAAAGGCAGCAGGAGAAAACAAAACTCTAATGCCATGGTAGCGAACCTACGGCACGCGTACCACAGGAGGCACGCAGAGCCCTCTCTGTGGGCATGCGCACCGTCGCCCCAGTCCTAGGCCTTCAGCCGGGTTTTATAAAACCTTTTCGCTTTAGGCCTCCGCTGCCGTGTGCAAAAAAAAAAAGGTTCAATCAATCAATCAATTTCAACTCGCAGGGAAAAAAAAGATCTCGCAAAGTTGGAATTGATTGAACTTTTTAGTCTCACCCAGTCTGCCATTACCACCAAAGCCATGCCCACCCAATGGGCAATGCCCACCCAGCACCCAATGATACATAAGTGGGTTTTGGGTTGCAATTTGGGCACTCGGTTTCTAAAAGGTTCACCATCACTGCAATGCCCATCATAAATCAGGAGAAACTTAAGGGTTTTCAGTATCTAAATACTTCTAGAATTATTTTGCTTAATCAAATATTATATGGCATGCAAAATTATAGCCAATAAGGTATGATACTTATCTTCATTGCCAAGCCAGATACAAATCACATTGTTAAATTGTTATTATGTTAAATTAGTAATAATAGTCATATGTTAAATTATTATTATTAATCATGATACTTGCATTTCATATTCACTATTAGTATCTTGGTAAATGATTTGCAGCTAAAATGTGGATTCCTATTTTTCAGTATTCCCCCAGCATGACAATGAGTGTGTGATCCAATATCAAGTTTCTTCATGAAGGCTGCACTGAGTTGGCCCTCTCCAGAGAGCTACTAAAGAAGAAAAAAAATTCATCCCTGTGTACAGTTTAACAGAAAAGATTTCTGCCACATTTGGACCCACCATTATTTTCCAACCATCTTCCCTGTTTTGTGAAGAAAGTGGGTCTTGATCTGGTTTCAGCTATAATATGTGGCATATCAGAGCTGCCCAAGACTGAACTGCAAACAATTATCTGTGTATGTATATGTAGGGATAGGTGTATGTATGTGTGTGTTACAGAGACATAAATATGAGCACATACATATATAGACCTTCAGGACATTGTAAAATATTATCACATGACATCTTAAGTAGAAATAAGAAATAGGGACTTTTATTCCATCTTTTTTACGTTTACATTTTATCTTTCGAAAGAATTGCTTCCTTCTTCCCATCCGACCTGTTTTGTGCTGTGTATATCACTGCTTTGTAAGTTATTTTTTAAAAAATGATCTCAGATACATTGTTTTTGTCATTGTCAGCCATCATTGTTAGGAATAAAATTGCTTATGATAGGGCTTTCATAAAGTTTTACTTAATACCAGTAATCATGTGAATTGCAGACTACACTTGCTTGAGAAAAAAAATTATTAAGTGCGTTAAACTTGTTCTTTGCCTTCCTGAAATTGAGAAAAAAAGAAAAGAGTTCTGTGCCCTACTTCTTAATAAATGTCTAATACTGCTATACTAAGCATATTTACATGGTGATAAACATTGAAACAAGTTTACTCCCAAGTTATATGAGAATTAGGATGCATATCCTTTAATATTTGCTTTCAAGGTATGACTGAGTTTAGCTCAACTTTTTGATCTATGCAGAGAAATACAAAATACTTGTTGGGCTTTGATTAAAGTGCTGGAGCATCCAGGAATAAAATCGGCAGGATTGCAATGTTGGGAAAATACTTAGTATGATCTTCCACAGGTGTTCTAATTATAATAAAAACAGCTATAGATTATATTGCTTATGCACAATATTTTCCTCTAATATTTATCATAATTTCCCAAGATTACATATGCATACTCAAATTATTTCATATGCCAAAGTGAAAGAGACAGCAAATTACTTTCCCTCACTATACTTACTGGCTTTATTATTCCTATCTCCATCTCACTATATTTTATCAATATTATTAAACCACTTTGGATATTACTAAAATCAGTGTAAACTTAAAGCCCTATATGATCAGTAAATTTATTACATACATTTTTAATGTTGACTTAAGGTACTTCATCTGCTGCCTCAGAAACAAATGCAGCTATTAATCTGAAAATAATTTTAATTGGCTTTATGTTAAAAGACCATGGTAAATTTCATCCAGTATCACATTTTTTTTTTGAGTTCCAAATAACAGAAATTTAAGGTGCTTTATATGAGGAAAGCATGATAATTTCCCCATCCTGTTTTTGGCAAGTAAATGATGTGTGAAAAAACTATACCTATTCCTATTTTCAATTTTGCTGTGGGAATTACCAATTTTGTTTGATAATTCCCATACAATAACAGCTTCCATCATCTGCATGTATTGTAACTTTATACTTCTATAAATGTGGAAGTAAATGTGCTGCCTACAAGAATTTATTTCCACCTGTAAGAAGGAACTGAGAATTTTAAATTAGTTGCAATCTATCTAAGTATACTTCCTGCTGAAATTGCAGTGAAAGACTTTGAATAAGCAGCAGTTTTACACTTCTTTAAAAAAAATGGGAGGGGAGATCATTCTTTAAATTGTGTGCTGGTGTTAAAGAAAACTTGGGGTAGTATCCAGTCATGTCATTCCAGGCAGAATAGAATTCACCAGTGGAATATGTTTCTTCTCACCTGCCAACCATCAAATCTGGTCATAAAGAGCAAATTTAGATTATACCAGGAAAGTAAAAAAAGGGAAATGAAGTCCCGTCATGGAAGCAAAACATAATACTTACAAAACTTTGGACATGGCTCTTAAGTATCACCATTACTTCTAAATTAACCTTGAAGAGCTGAATAAAGTTGCAGTGTGTAACCTAGCACATGTTTATATTTTTACAAAATTAAATCTATGACTCCAAAGTGTTTTATTTTCATTTTATTGAACACTCAGAACAAGACAATAATTCTAGTTAGTATCCAGTGATTTTATTTTATCCAGAAAAGCTTTTTGATGCAGCCAAACCTTCCTTGAATGCAGTGAGGGAAGAGATTGTCTGTTCTTTCTCTTTCAAAAATGTATTCCAGGAAATTGAAAACAAAATGGGAAGCAGGTCCTTTCTCTCCCTTTTGTTTATGGGAACTTCTGCTGGATTAAAGTGTCTTCTCAGAATTGAAGGGCAGATTTGGATATGATTCCTTAACCCCAATAATTAATTTTTTGGATATTCATTTTATGCATGTAAAAATCTCTGTGCCTAATTTTTCCAGTAACTCATTTCCAGTACACCACATAAAATGATAACTATGAATGCTGTGCACATAATATCTAATGACAATGCTAGTTATACATTGTATTTTTGTTTAGATTCTTCTGTATGTTCTAGTAAGTTATTTATAGAATTTGGCAATATGAAGAACAAAATTAAAATAGATTATTGATTTTCAGTCATTGATTTATTTCTCATATGTTAAAGTTCCACATGTACTATATGTGGTGTAGTCCTATATGAACCTTAATGCCGTGATTCTAATTCCCACCCCAGACGAGTGCATTTAGAAAAATTATGATGAACTTATATTTTACCTTGGGAATTTTAATGCAATTTCTCCAAAGGCCAAGTGGAAACAGTTCACAAAACATGATACATATATGGACTTCTTAAAAGGATTATATGTGATCAGAATATCAGCTTCCTTTTGTATCCTGCTTTAAAAATATTGTGAAAAAAATCAAATTTATTCCTACCTGTCTCTTTAAAAATATTCTGAAAAGTTTGCTAGAAGTTACTGATGAAAATGATAAATAAGTAAATTAAACTAGATCTCATAACCTGGAGCGTTATGTGCGTGTGCACATATATATATACACATTCACACAAACACAAATTTAAAATCCCTGAAATAGATTGGGTATCAAGTAATAAACATACAGGATATAATCCATTTTAGTAGTTCCTACATAAAATGTTTAATATGAATTTAAATGATTGTTTTAAATTTAAAATCAAGGATTGAATTTGGTGTGGTTTTCTTTATTCTCACAACTTGTTGCACACATATGTTCAGAAAAGGTGGTGTAATTTTCTTTACCTCTTTTTCACCAAGTCCTATGCTTTAGCCACAGTGACAGACTACCACATAAAAGGAAATGGTCTTTCAAGCTTCTAAGTTACAGTAACCAATTTCTAGTTGGAAGATTTTCATTTTTGCCTGATTCATCAGATTATCATCAGCTGAACCTTTGGTTGCCACTATCCTGGCCTGATTGGTGCATCCTAAATACTTTCTCATCTCTATATAGATCCTAGTGGAAAAAAATAAACCTATAACAGCTGACATCCAAAAGCACCTGATTTAGTTATCAGGTGCTTTTAGTTAAAGCTTTTTCCAACTGAGCTTTTTGTTTTTAAGAAAAATGTAATGCTGATTTAATATGCATATTTCAATCCAGTTACAGTAAGCAATGGGCTGACTCACATGTAATGCCAAGCAATCAAATCCTAATTCCTTAAAATCCTGGTTTATAGGGCAAGCACAAATCATACTTTTAATATAACAGCCATAAATGGTTTTCCAAAACTCAGAATTAGCCCATTAAGTCATGAAGAAAGGAAGGAATAAGCACATGGCTTGCATATGTAGCACCAAACAATGATATACCAAATCCTTTTGAAAACAGAGGAATGTAAATTAATCATAACTATAGCAAGAGAGTGGCTATTTGGTTAATAAGAGTAGCTGTTTTGTATCTATGGATTACAATCTAGCATCAAAACTTGGTTGACTAAAAGTCATTACTATGTTTATCATAATTGTGATTATATGTCAATATGCTGGATGTAACAAAACTATGAAATTAGATAATGAATTTCTTGAAGAGGATTAAGTTGTACATTTTTATTCTTTTACATTGGTGTCACACATTTTTGCCAATAAATATTGCACTGATTTTTTTATGAGTCCTAATGTATTATATATTTATTCCCTGATTTCCCTTTTGAAGAAACTCATTGTGGGCAGACCTAGCATATAGTTTTTAATAAAAGTATCTGCATGATATAGGGCAGGGGTCTCAAACTGCCGGCCTGCAGGTCAGATGCGTCATGCTAAAACTGCACCCACCGCATTGCTGGCTATGGAAAAAAAGTCACAATACGTCGCGACATGTCACATGACGTTGCAAGTTTGACACCCCTGATATAGGGTAATCTGGAAAAAGTATTTTTTTTTCATGCTATTCATCAGAAATTATTGCACAACTTAAGCCTTCATTCCAGTCGACAGTATATACTGGAATTTTAAGCGTAACTAGTGAATAAGAATGTGTATGTTAATTCTTTTGGTATATTAAATATTTTTAAAAAAACAAGATGAAACTTAAGTATTTCAGGTTACAATTTAGTATCAAAATATAAAAATTCATATTTCCAGCTTGAATACGATATGAAATTATTGTGATTATGTAATACACACTTCTCTAAAAGTTCTGATGTACATATGGAGATCTACGCAAACACAAGTTCTCTAATTTTTTCAATGCCAAGGAATACCATTAATGCATTTTCACATGGAACATTTCCTGACTGTTGAACAGATTGGTCAAGTCTTGCTCCTGTAGAAAATTCCTTATACTAAGTGAAGCCGGTCTTTTTTCATTGGAACTATCAACTAGGATTTGTTTGAGTTCCAAGACTGCTTCAATTATGTTATCCGCTATTTGTGGCATTAAGATTTTATGTCTTTCTAAATAATGGCATTCTAGATAGACAGGCATTTCTAATAATTGTACAGATGTCCTGTGCAATTTCAATATTTTATTTTTAAAAGATTTAGAAAATAAATGGTTTCCCTTTTTAAATTTAATTCACAATAATAAAATTGATTAAAATTAAAATTAGGAAATAATATGATCAGTTCATAATTGGAATTATTATTCTGGACATTAGATTCCAATTATATCGCTAAAATATGTCATTTTCTAATATAATGTGTGCTGTAATCAAATTTCAAGGGCTTATGGCCATACTTTGAATATGTGAGCATTTACATTTTTTTAAAAAAATATTCATTTAGCATCATTTAGAAAAAATGTATAGTATGATATAGAATTTGGCATGAGAAATAATGGCTATATATGCATTGGGATTTTTAGGATTAGTACTTAAGGCTTGTTTAATAAATTTGCAAATGATTGTCCTCTATTTCCAGTAACATTTAACTTAGGTGAGCCTTATCAAGCTAAAGTTAAATCTCACAATTTGAATGGGAAAATTAGCTTTTATTTCATCACCTTGGATAACGACTACAGTTGCTATTTTTAGATCCTTAGCCAGTTGTCTTTGTATATATCTACTGAGTGATGTTTAAGACCAGACTTTGCTTTGTTTTTAAAAAGTGGTTCTGGCTTTTAGAGTTTTAAACACTTTTTACACATTTAGAGTTTTGTATTATAAAAATATTGATACAAATAACTATTTCATTTATTTGCAAGTAAAAGGGAAGACTATAGTATACTATACTAGAGACTACTATACTATAGTCTAACAGAAATACAGGATTTTCCTAGAATATAGGAAAACTAAGTAAAGTTTCAGCTTTTTATATGTGATGAGAGAAATTTAGAACATTTAAAGTACAAGTTTTTATTATGTAGCAAACCATGTACATTTCTGCAACCAAGAATACAGGCAGCAGTAAAGCTTATTTTCGATGCTATCAAAATATTGTAGAAAAATTATTTGGTGAATCCATGCTTTACTTTGTACCTATATTCAGCAAGTAACAATACACACACTCCAACTTCTAACATCAAATCAAGAACTAATTAAGTTCATTATTTAGTTCCGTAAGATGGCTGTTACGTTCCCAAGAAAAACTCATACATACAAACAACCTAAAAATTCCTTTGCGTTCCTAATATTTCAAGGCCTGCAATCTCTGAATATTAAAAGTCTTATCAATTTATAATCTCCAGTAGCCATAAATAGGTGAGTTTGAAACTTGCTAGTCTGTTAAGCCATCAATTATGAAATTACAGACTAATGAATGTATTGAATAAAAATGTTATTATGCTATTGTCTGAAAGCAATTAAATGAAATTACTATGAAAGAGATTTTCAAGTACTTCTGTTGAGAAGCTGTCTTGTCTTCCTCCTTCCATCAAAGTGCCCCTATACCACATCTTTCCTTGATCTGTTTCATATCGCATCACTCTATTCTTTTTAAAAACAAGTGAAATATCAATACTAAACTTTCCACAGAAAAAAGCTTGTTTCAGTTTATTGTTCATTAATTTATGGTACTGTATCTCTATGTGTATTTTCACTGAAAGGAAATGCATCACACAAAAGTTAGAATATAAGGAATAGAGGAAAGAATTTGAAAAGGTTAATATAAAATGGGTCTGTACATGCTTATAAGTCCATACTTTACATCAGTGGTTCTCAACCTTTTTAATGCCGCGACCCCCAACCGGTCGTAAGTCGAGGACTACTCAACTGGTGCAGCACCATTTGCAGAATGGGACTTTTGGCGGGCTCAGCAGGGCAGAGACAGCCTGGACAATTCCTATTGGCTTTTGAAAGCCAATAGAATTAGACTCTATTCAAGAGAGTCTATTCTATTGGCTTTCAAAAGCCAATAGAATAAAAGGGAGTAGCACAGCTAAGGAAAAGGGGGAAAAAATGGCAGACTGCGTTGTTTGGCGACCCCTGTGAAATGGTCGTTCGACCCCAAATGGGGTCCCGACCCACAGGTTGAGAACCACTGCTTTACATGGTTTTCCCAAGAGGTTTAGTAAGTATAATTTATTTTAAAAAACTGGTTGACATTAAAAAACAAAAAACTCAAAGAAGATGATAAAGTATTAAGGTTTAATAAGTGTTAGATACATTTTTCTATAGAAGGTTAATGTATTATTTAAATCTGTAAATTTCTTAATTTCTCACTTTAAACAAATTCTGAGACTTTCACAAATAAATTTTCTCTTGAATTTCCACACCATGATACTGAAATTCAGATTCTCAGAATTCAGAAAATAGCAGACAGAATTGAGGAATATGAGTTATGAATCCTCCCTTACATCCATAGTGGATCAGAAAACAAAATTCTACAGAGTGTAAAAAAAGCAAAGTGTTTTACGGAAATCCAATTATTACAGTAAATAAAGATGGCTTTTTAACATTCAGAATGGATTTTGAAATTGCTAGGGGTAGTACTCAATTTACAACCAGAATGGAGCCCAACATTTCTGTTGCTAAGCAAGAGAGTTAAGTGAGTTCTACCTCATTTTATGACCTTTTTTGCCACAGATGCTAAGCAAATCATTGTAGTTGTTATGAAAATCATGAAGTTGTTAAGTGAATCTGGCTTCCCCTATTGATCTCATCGGAAGTCAGCTGGGAAGGTTACAAATCGTGATCACATGATCCCAAGACAGTATAACAGTCATAAATACCAGTTGTCAAGACCCAGAATTTTGATCATGTGACCATAGGGTTGCTGCAACGGTTGTAAGTGTGAAAAACAGCCATTTTTTCATTTTTTTCAGTGCCATTGTAACTTCAAATGGTAACTAAACAAATGGTTGTAAGTCAAGGACTATCTGTATTTACAAATATTGTACTTTAGTATGTTAATTTATTAAGACATTAGTAATTAGAATCAAAATACATCATCAATGAACGGGCAGCATCTCAGGGGCTGTATATGGATTTTGAAGACACTATTTTGGTTACAGGTCCAACTACGTGTGACCAAATATAGCTTAGTGCAGTGGTGGCGAACCTATGGCACGGGTGCCAGAGGCAGCACCCAGAGCTCTCTCTGTGGGCATGCATGCCATCGCCCCAGTCCTAGGCCTTCAGCTGGGTTTTATAAAACCTTTTCGCTTTAGGTCTCCACTGCCATGTGCAAAAAAAAAAAAAAGGTTCAATCAGTCAATTTCAACTTCTCGCGGGAAAAAAAAGATCTTGCAAAGTTGGAATTGATTGAACTTTTTAGTCCCATCCAGTCTGCCGTTACCACTGCAGCCACGCCCACCCAATGGGCCACACCCACCCGTCACCCTACAATGCATAAGTGGGTTTGGTGTTGCAGTTTGGGCACTCGGTCTCTAAAAGGTTCTCCATCACTGGTTTAATGGAATTAATTATATTAGTTTAAAATTGTCCTAGTCACAACTAATTTTTAAAATGTGACTGCTTTAATAGTTTCAAAATGTATTCTTTATAAACCATGTAACAATTACTGGCAAAATTTATTATAATATAACTTGTCCATTCAATACATATAATGTGTTAAAGAAGCTACAGATTTTATGAAATATGTTCAACTATATTTTAACCCCTCAACAGTTCTGAAGTAAATTCTATTGTATGTATGTATAAGATTTACAATCAAAAATAACTTTGTTTTAGGTATGTATGAATGTCATGGAAAGCTAGCTAATGAAAACATCCTGCTGTACATTACAATGGTTTGTCTAGTAAACACTCATTTCAAAAATTTAAACAAAATAAAAATTAGACAATACATAGTTTACAAGTCATGTCTGTCAATATGAGTATTATTCATACTGATTAAAAAGAAACATTCTAGAGGCAAATATGGGACTTATGAGTGGAATTTATTTCCAAGTACAATACTTTGCAACATTAATATGAGACCACATATTAGCACAATGGTTTAATGAATTGAAAATACTCTTAAACTCTCACCTATTTTATAGTGATTTTCTGTACAATTTGTTCCTTTAGAAAGTTTTTAGATATTCGGTAAATTAAATACATTTTTTAAAAATCTGAATTGAATTGTAATTCTAAAGTATTGAATACAATGGGCAATGCTGAAAATCTTTTAGTCTGAGAGCTGAGCTTGATCATCTTTCCATATTCATTATAATTTTATCATAAACACATCATCTGTTTTTATCCAAATTGCTGTCTTTCATTTGTCTTCC